TTAATGTGTTTTTTATCGTTTATCAACCTTTTGCAGTTTATTTAAAGACAGAAAATATTTTTAGATTGTAAAATTTTTCTTTTTTTATATAATACTGGTTTAGTCTTACTAATTAATCCATAGCTGGGGAAAGAGGTGAACTCCTACCTTTCCCAAGTGAATATAACAAACCAAACCAAATTGGAATTGGAACTCTGCTCTCTGATTAACAATTCTGAGCCATTATCCATTACACCACCTGCACATCCAAGTTTATAACACCTGGTATTTTTAAGCAGTCACCCATCTAGGTACTGACCAGGCTTGATGTTGTTTAACATTGGTGATCTTAGAGTAACTGGTGTTTCAACATGATGTGCCTTCAAACATGAACAGTACAATGAAAACAATGGATTGAGTAAAGGATTCAGTTTAAAATTCTTAAAGATTACAAGTCAAAATGGGAATATAACAACCAAAATGAGGACACTCATCTGAGTAAATCAACACCTGAAATTAAATGCCATGTCTCTTCAAGACATAAAAGCAACCATGTCTCTTTGAATTGCCATTCCTTCTGAGGAAAGATAGTGGGGTGGTTTTCCAGTGCCTTCTCCATGGTTTTAAATTCAAAGTTGCTCATCTAAACTGGGTGTCACCCAAGGGAGAAAGCCTAGTTTACAGAGCTATTGAACCCAATGTTTAAATGAAATGTTATGTCTCTACAGAACATTAGCAGTCATGGTTCTCCATTGATTCCTTTTCATATTTGTGAATTGCCATGTATTCTTGGAGTGGTTTCTTACGGTTTGGAATTCATAGATTTCTGTCTTGGAGCCTGGTTTCCACCCAAAACTACAGAGCCTTGTTTATCCTACTATTTAAACCATAGCTGGGGTTGGGGAGAAGAGGCAGACTTTTGCTTTTCCCAGGGGCATTAGTGTAAATGTGAACTCAACAGATTAGACTGGAATTTGAATTCAACTTACTGATTCCACTTTCTGTGACAATATCTGTTATACTAACCACACATTCATTAAAATGGACATATAATCATGTAATAAGAATTTTAAATTTTAACACTTGGTGACTAAAAGACCATAAATATGATTTTCTAATACCTTTACCCTGTAAAATTTCCATTATTGCAATATCTGCACCAACTAGAAAGTAAATCTATACTTACTAAGAATTGTTCTGTATTGCTCTTTGTGTAGCCACACAACATGGGTAGAATAAAAAAAGTAGACAAAGGCAAAAAGATACAAACTGCTGAAGGCCAATTATCCAGAGAGGTGAGATTATTGAATAAAACATTAAGATAATTCTACCTGCAGCACAGAAATATTTTTCACTGGAACTATCTTACTACCACTGTACCATAATGATTATATTTGCATGTACATTTTATACACTAAATGTAGTAATCATTATGGGACATAAATATATTGTGGAATGGAGCAATGGCAACTCTATCGAAAAATGGAATCTGTGAACTGAGTTTGAATTTTGACTTTGTGACAGGCATGATTCCATTCATCTCTGCACTCTGTCCCATTGTCAAATATTTTGATAAAATGAGTGGGCAAATCACTCCCTCATAATTATCTTACCTAAGCAGGTAGTTGTATAAAAATAAAAACCTCCAAAATAACTTCCATTGTTAACTTTGACCCATATTGCAGGATATAATTTTTTTTTTTTTGGTCAAGTTGTTTGTATATTCAATGTCTTTCTTTTATTTTCTATGATACTTATTTGATAAAAAAATAAGTTAATCAAAATTAAGAGACAAACAGTGAATATTTATTTATTTACTATATTTCTATTGTACTTTTTGCTTGTAGAATTCTTTTCCAGTTTCTTGCTTCCCAATCAACTTTGATCTTCAAAAATTTTATTGCAATATCAATTATTATCTTCTATCTTAATTTTTATTCTTTTATTGTTCTCTCTCCTTACTAGTGTTCTTTTTCTCATACTCAATAACTCCTTGCATCTTAGTGGCTTTATTGCCTTGCTCGAGATGGGAAATGATGTTAGCATAACATTACAAAAAAAAAAAAAACAAAAAAAAACTATTTCTCAGGCCATTTAGTTACTACCACTTCTAAAAATGTGTACTTATCAGAAGTTGCCATTTTGAGAGACTCATTTAGTGTGACCCCTTTTCACTTAAAACATCTACATGAAAATAGTGCTTTGAAAGAAAAAAAAATTCTTTTTCTAGGTTATATAAAAACTAATTTTTAATAAATGTTGGAAAATATACTTAGATTCTTTTGAGAATCTGAGATTGCGTATTTCCGCTATTATACATTTTTAAAATTAATTTTGACTGCATTCTTCACCCTTGTTTTTATCATAATGTTTTTTAATTGATTAATTTCTCAGGTAATGTGATAAATCCTTAAAGGATAAAGAAAATAATTGAATAAAACAAAGAATAAGAATATTCAAAACTGGCTTGGAGTAAATTTTTGTCTGCAACTCGATATATTCTTAGCAAAGATGTCTCACCCTCTGCTTCACACACAAACATATTTGAGAGAAAGATAATGACCAAATTTTACATTACATTTCTAACTTATGTCTACTCATTTTTTTTTTTTTATCTCAAAGTAATCAATAAAACTTATTAATTTTTCATTTAATTATTTATCCTATTTTTAGTCCTCATTGTTGTTAATACTTTTCCCATCTAAATCCTGCTTAATACTTTTCCCATCTAAATCCTGCATGATGTGATGTATAAAGCATTACTCCTATGTCTCATAGGAGTAATGCTTTATACATCACATCATGTATTATCATTTATATTAACTTTTTCCTATAATACAAATTTTTATTAATCTATTCATAATGTTTTTATTATGATTTTTAAAATATGAATATTTAATGAAAAAAATAACTTAAGAATTATTGTTACACCTAATTAAAAATATTTTTGATTCATATTATTAATGTAACAGAAAATTAAAACAAACTTATTGTCATTAAAGAATTAATTTCTTTCATTTGTTAAATATGTTTTCCGTGGAAGATCAAATACTTAAATCTTTATTTAATAAAGCAAGTTTGTAATTGAATATGCAGATTATTATTATTGTTTGTTAAATTGTTTCTATTTAATTTTTTCGAGATCTTCCTTTCAGAGTCAGAGGTTTTAGTTGATAGTTTGCCTTTCTTTACAAATAAGGCGTATTTGATTGCTTTGGTTTGTAATTTGAGTAATTGAAAAGAATAAATATTATGCCTGACAAGTAAAGTTTCATTGCCTTTCTTTAATTTCCTACTCCCAGATTTGCCACCATTTTAATAAATTTCCTTCTCCCTTCCCACTTTTTCAACTTTTTTTCTTCTGCTGATCTGATTTGTTTTTTATATTTTTTTTTTTTTTGCCACGCCCCTGCACTCAACCCCATCATCATGTTGTATTTGATAAGTATTGTTCTGTAGTCAGCTGAGATCAGGGAAAATGACACCAACAAAGCTGACAAATTGCCAAAAAAAAACAAAAAAAACAAAGAAATACAATTTGAAAGCTACATGAAGTTCCTTTTTTTTTCTCTCCCACCACCATTTTTAAATTTGGGGTTTCATTCAATTCTTTCTGCTGTTATTGCATATTTCAGTGTTGTTAATCTCCTAGCAGTTTGACAAGAATTATAAGCCACTCACTAAACTAACAACGGATTCAAGTCATCAATACTAAAACTAAAGGCTTACTTTTGCTTTTTAAAATGGTGTTAAAAATAAATTTAATATTGTTGACTTACAAATATGCTGATAACTTTCTATTGCTGTTGCTTGCAAGTTGAACTCTCTTGCCAAGCAGAAATAAACAAATACTCATTCAGTCAAACAGACATTGTTCATGGCTAAATTGTTTTTTGCCTCTTTGCTTTGCTGTTGATTTGCATTCAAGTTTATGAAAATATTAATGCTCGTGTTTACTCTTAGGATTAAATGTAAATAAAATAAACAATAAAGCTCATAAAATTAAGAAATCGACAATGAGATTGTGTGACGAACATGTACACTAGTTATCATAATTTCAAATTTGGTTTAACACCTCTCTTAGTGCAGGTAACAAATTAGCAGAATATTAATACTATTCCTATATGAGAAAAGCATATGTATCCGTATCACTCCATGCAAGACAGTAAATCCACTAAGACACAAGGGGTTCTAGGTTGTGGAAGAATTAGGAACAGAAACATTAATAATGAGCAGGAAGAGAAAAGAGTAATCAGGAGGACAGTAGATAGCGATTGACATTGCATTTAAATTTTTGAAGACTAAAGTTGACTGGAAATAATGGAGCTGGAAGAGAGTTCCACAAATGTTAGCAAAGAATTTACAGTTATATCTAGCCACCTCAACTGTAAATTTATGAGATCTTGACACCAGTGTGTGTGTGTGTGTGTATATATATATATATATATATATATATATATATATGGCATCCATCTGTCTTGAGAGACCATGGATCTGACCTAAAGAGTTATGCTTCAGCTGATGATGGTGGCACACTATCTGTTATGGCTGTACAGGCCCACATAGGAATGTCAATCTCAATTACAACAAATGCATATGAAAACTCTCTCCTCAGTGTCTTTGTGTTCTTTACTTTCTGTCAAGTATGCTTTTCCCCAGCGGCAAGCCTCCACCTCTCCACTCCTCTATCCTGCTTTTGGTGTGAGCAATTGTTGGCAATGTCTTCACACCTCTCAATATCCATGTCCATTGCTCTCATGTCTCTTTTGCAGATGTTCTTGAAGGGAAGATGAGTTTGCTCTCTTGCTTGTGGCCAGTTTCCTGTACCGAAGGACCTTCGGAATCCTCTCCTCTGACATATGGTGTACATGTCTTTTCATTAACTTATTGATTATTTGAATGCTTGGAATAATAATAGATGACAAGAAGATGTAAATGTTTTATATTTTTCTTTTCTTGCAGAAAAATCCAGTGGTTCCAAGATTAAAAAGAAGCCCTCATTCCGAGATGATATTAAGGCCATGATCAAAAGGAGGCCATCTGCTCCTAGTCAGTCCCCAAAGTCCAAAAGTAAAAGTTTAAATCGAACACACAGTCTCAATGAAGGGTCAAAGGTTGATAAACTTGACAAGGAGGATGTAAGTAGTTTCTTTAACATTTCACTTTTTATTACATTTTTGCCATTTTTATTTATTAATGAGTTTGATAAAGTAAACATATTTCCATACAACTTTTTGCTCACTATTTAGTTATTACTAACAAGGTTACCTGGTTTTGCTTAAATCAAAAAAACACATGTTCATGGTTAATGATGACCTTTGTTGACTAATTTTCTTTGCTTGATGTATGATTTAATGTATGAGGATAAAAAACAATTATAATAATGAGAGCAGAACTGTCTAAAGAATAAAAGATGTAAGTAAAGTAAAAAAAAAAAAAAAAAAGCTGGCATTCATGTTTATTAAAGTTTTTAGGTTGAGTTTTTTGAGTTGAGTATTCTTTATCTGAAATTCCAAAATCCAAGGGCCTCAGGTATGATGATAAACTATATCCAACAGCAAGGCCTCTGATCGGGAGGTTTTGAGGAGTGTGGAACCACCTCTTAATTGCTGTTGTTCCCAGGTCCACCTTTTACCTGAAGTGGTAGCACCTATTAAACTCGCAGTTATAGGTAAATAGTTAACCCCCAAATTGGGGTCACAACACTATGAAAATATAAAAATAGATATTTATAGTAAAAATACCAGCAATAAATTATTGGAAAAAAAAAAAAATTATACTAGCAATATATTTGACTCTCGGCAAAAACCGTCTTTACAAAAATATGTCAATGAAATCTGATCTAAAAACTGATTTCTTAAAGAATATCTATTCTATTCAGAGGAACCTATCCTAAAAATCTTGTCAGCATTAAATAATCTATTGAGGTTAATATGCCGTAAAACAAATTAAACCAAACCAAGCCAAAATTCAAAAACCTCCAAAATGTGAAAGTTTTTTAGGTTCTGACATGACTTGCCACAAATGTAAAATTTCAGAAAGCACTTGGAAGATTCCTAGCTGATGTGCAGCTGTTGTAAGTGACTTCATTTGCCCTGGGTGAGGGTTCCCCAGCCCAGCTACATGGGTAACAGTTTTTTTGCTAGTGATCATCACAGCAACACCTTTGTTCATGGATTACTTACCAGGTGTTTCATGCTCAGTAAAGATATTATTCAAAATGTCAGTCTGGCATTTATATATTTTTTGTAAGTAGTGATCATGTTTTTTTGTTTTTTTTTGTAAACGTACAGAAAGTACAAGACATTATTTTTATATGAAATCTTAATTTCCACCACTTAAAAATCCGTGTGATTAGTGTCATTACCCATATCTGAATGTACATAAGATTTATTAAATTTTATATAAAACTACTTTCAGGGTACATTTATGTTATTTATATAAAATTACCTTCAGGTTATATGTATAAACTGTGTTATGAAAAGTAAAGGGATATTATGTTTATGCTTGGGTTCCATTCCCAAGGTGTCCCATTTTATAAATGCTATAGACAAATTAAATAGCCTGTATTCCAAAACCTGAAAACCAAAGCATTGCTGGTCCCAAGAATTTTGGATAAAGGATTCTCAGCCTATATTTTCATTTTTGTTTTATCTCGTTGAAAAGGTTGCTTTGTCTTGGTTAACTTTACATTTTGGTATAAAATATTTTTTCTTGATAGCTTTTGACTCGTACCAACTTTGGATCTATTTCTAGCATTGTAATAGGAAAATTCTCAGCTGTTGTATTTAACTAAATTCTATCTTAAAATTAACATATAAGAAATATTCCATTTTCAGTTTAATGTTTCAATAAGTATAGAAGAAAAGTTTCATGACACTGAACCATTTTATAACAGATACACTACATTCATACATAAAAAATGCTGCTTATACATTAATTTAACTTTAAGCACAGATGTTTACTCCAAAAAGTTTTTCAAATTTTGTGTTTTAAAAAATAAGTTTTGAAATGAGGTTTATGGAATATTTTGCATAAAGAATTGATTTATTTTAAAACTGAAATAAGAATGCATTGTATTGTATTTTTGATTTAGCAAAACACAAAGTTTTTTTTTTTTTTTTTTCAGACTCATCTATATACAATAAATAAATACTAAATAGAAACTTAAAATTTATCCTAAATCATTAATAATTGATTAAGGAAATATTATTTGTTGTTTTTAAAACTTTTTAATATAAACTGGTAAATTTTACTGTAAAATTTTAAAATCTAAGTTTAAAATCATTTTTAGATTTTATGCTATGAATATTTCTATTTTTTAACCTTTATTACTCTGTATGTGACTTCATTTTCTGTTCAAAAAGTTTATCCTGCCACTGAAGGTGACTCTGATCCTTGAACAATAGTGTGTTTGAATTTCATAGTTGTGTTGTCATATCCTGCTATGGCAACAGGAAACAACTTTGAGTGAAATTAACAATAAGTCTACTGCAATTGAGAGGCCTTGAAAAAGAATGCATTTGAAAGGGAAGTCATATTAATAATGCAGAGTGCTAAAGGTTAAAATAAAGAAGAAAGGTATTTTGAATGGTTATAGGTTAAAAGCAAGTGTTCTTGCTGGAATTGGGCTATTGCATGCCTAATGTTTGGATGTGTGGGTGGTGTAATGGATATCAACTCTGAATGAGAAATTGGAGAGCTGAGTTCAAATCCCAGTTGAGTTTGTTACATTCATTTACATGCAAATACCTTTGAGAAAGGTATGAATACATCTCTTCTCCCTCCAGCTATGGGTTGAATAATGAATTTGTAAAGACTGGTTTCTATAGCCTTGGTAGGCAACCAGTCTACTGCAGAAAGAATTGGCAACCTACTACAGGAAAAACTTCAGATGCTTTCTTCCAACATGTCTTGAACCAGCATGGAAGAGTAGGTTCATAAAATTAACATGTGAATAATATCTCATGTTGATACACAGTCTGCAACATTGTAGAGTAAGCATTTTTTTTTTTTAGGGGTAGGTGGGTAAGATGCATAATGTCTCCATACAAATAGATAATCAGTCCTCTTAAATGTAACTTATTCAGCATATTATTTTATTTATAATCAAAAATCTTTCCTCTAATGAAATGAAATAATAATTTTCTTGCTATGAAATATTTGCAAGAAAACCATACTTTAATTGTCTAATATGGGAAGAACAAAAGTTACACCCACAAAATCAGAATATGATTGCTAATAATTGAAGATTTGTAAGGAATAATAAATTTAATATATTAACATAGTAAATAATTTATTACTTCCTTTTGTTATCTGAAAATAATTTGATATAGCTTTATTGCTGTTATCATGTCAGGTTAATGTCATTATCATTTTACATTCAAAGTTTATAAAATTGTTCTATTTAAAATGAAATGTGAAAAAAAAATTTTTTTATTCCCCAATCTTGTATAATTAATTCATATTTAATAATTTACTGACCTTGGTGATGTGGATATAAAAAAAAAAGTTTCTGTCCTAAGGGCGAATAACTCTCTAATTTAGGTTTACTTGTATGTATTTTAAATCAAGCAAATTTTGAAAGACTAAAATGAGCTTTGCTTTATATTTTTCTAATATTTGCATGATTTACTTAGTAATATACTATTTTTTCTCTCTTGAGTATGAACTGGTTACTAAGAAGTTTATGTTAAAGGCATTAGATATATCTGGAGGAAGGTGAACCATATTGAAACTGATTTTTATAATTTCACTGAAGAGAAAGGGTAACATTTCACAAAGTCACTTCTGCAGTAGTTTTATGAAAAATTTCACCATAAGGGTAAATAATCTGTGATATTCTATGATAACCTTTTTGATGTAATATTTCTGTTAGATAGAAAAAGTTGTTCTTTCAGGATTAGATGATTATAATTTGGAAGTTCAAAATGTTGAGCTTATCAGTGTGTAGGGACACCATATTTTTAATATTTCACTGAATATAAAAACACTTATGCTTCTTATAGTAAATAACTTGGCAAAGGTTAATCTTACAAACTTAAAGTGTCATATATAATGGTAGCTGCCACTTGCATTTGTTGTAACTGTCATGATAGCTACAAGGTGAGGTTCTTTTTGCAATGTAAATAAGTATCATCCATTTTCATACAAAAGATTCAATAGCCTTAAATGCTTCTGCATGACAGTGCCATAATTGTCACAACAAACTTTTTTTAAGTCCATTATATTAACTGAATTGTAAAAATTGTTTAAAATCAACTATTATTATATGTTAATTCTTGTGAAGTGAGTGGCCATGATTGAATGTAAAATAAATAACAGAACTGTCCAACAAACAGAATTGACAAAGTTTCCAATCAGCCATAACAAAAAAAAGAACAGGGCAAAAAAATAATATAAACCAAACAAACAATATATGCAAGGCAAATTAACAGTAATAAGCAAAAAGTTAATAAACTAAACATTGGAGTCGACATCCAAAAGCAAGTTCGGACAAGCGAATGTAGCATTCTGACTTTAAAACAAGACGCCAGGAATGATTGAGGTGAAACGGAGAACAAGCTTATTTTATTGGCTAGGAAAAAATCCTAGCATGCATTTCTGTGCTTCTGCCTATAAAAAGGGGAGGGGACAGTGGTTTACAATCATTCTTATCGATTGAAAGCAACAGTTCTCTCTACAAAGTAATTTCTGGCATTGTGTACCAAAATGCTTACCATAAAAATGTCACTAGAATTTTGAAATGCATTATGACAAGTATTATTGCAAATAAATAAAAGTTTAGCATAGTTTTATTGTAATTTAATTAGTTTAAAGTTTTCCTTTGATACTGAAAAACTATATTTTCAATTCTTGAAAATCTGATTTCTTTTCTTTAAATAAGAGAAAGAAGAAATGCATATGTCATCTTGAGATAAACCTAAACACATTTTATTCTTTTGTTTGATTCTCTATTTATTGTCTGGTTCATTTCTGTTGATTGAAAAGTATTATGAGGTGAAGATACAAGATTTCTATTACTTTAAAAGAATATACTGATAGCTTGTTTGATTGTCCTTTCTATGGTTGCTATACAGGGTTAATTTTTATGTCTGAATATATCATTATGTACAGACGGAAATTAACAAAAGTTCTT